CTCTTTCATTCTCTGTTGTCTTATCTTTATTGTCTATAAAGACAAAAGTGGACAGAACATTAGTGGAGACAATAAAGATAAAAGTGGACAGTACATTAGTAAAGACAATAAAGATAAAAGCTGACAGAACATTAATAGACAATAAAGATAAAAGCTGACAGAACATTAATAGCCTGAGGTGTGTAGAGACTTAAGGATGGACATACTGACCCTATTATGTCTGACTCACCCGTTATGTTTGACTCGCCTGTTATGTCTGACTCACCTGTTATGTTTGAGATGTGCACTGACCAAATGTCCAGCAGCTAGAGCTGATAATAGAGAGAGTTCTCCTGCTAGGACCATTCCACAAATAATTCTTGCTAATGTAGCAGCATGTTGTCCTGGTTCTGAAGTCGACGGTCCTCGCACACCAAGCAACTGAAGTGCATGAAAGTTACATTAAGTAAACCAGCAATACGCTTCATGATTTAAGCAACATAATCCAAACACGCTAAAGGTGCTATTAGACAAATATATCATGCTATACCTATATATAATAAGTATCAAAATCTCTCAATTTCCATGTTTATAATTGTAGCAAAAGCTCAAAAACAAATTATTTCAAAACTTAAGAAAAAAAAGACAACATGTAGCAAAAGCCAACTCAGTTTTTAATATGTAAGTTAGTAAAAGTTGAGGAACTGTTTGATACATGGAAAAATATTCAAAACAAAAAGGTTAGAATTTGACATTGGAGACAAGCCAGATATTAGTTTATCACTGGTCACACTTTATAAACAAACAGCTTGTGACTTTATAAACTTACATCTAAACAAGCAGCCTGTGGGGGCAGCACTGTTCCTCCACCTATAGTCCCTGTCTCTATTGAAGGCATAGTGCAAGTGATCAACAGATTTTCTCCACTTGGTCCGGAGGGTTCTATGAGAGTGATACAGTTTGAACTATCAACATTCTGGGCTGGATCCTGGAGAAAGATGTATATAAGTTAAACAAAGAATAAACCCTGAGTTTTCTCACTGATTAGGATTAACTATAACACTTAAGCTGTGTTTTAATTTCCCGTAGCTCTGAAAAACAATTGAAAGGTAATTATGTAGTCAACAAATAATTTAACTTTTCCAACCATTACGTTCCTTATTTTCGAGTTATACAAACACTTACTTTGTGTGTATACAAAAAAAATCTATCAGTATCGATAATGTTTTGCTACAAACATCAGTTAAAACATATTAAAGAAAAAACACTCACCTGACCAGTGGCTATGAAGATAGCACTAACAATATTAGCAGCCTGTGCATTAAAACCACCTATACTCCCAGCAACAGCAGAGCCAATCAGGTTTTTGCTGATATTAACATCAACAAGAGCTTGAACACTTGTCTTCAAAACCTGTTTAGAAATTAGATTGAAGTTTTGATTTGTATTTGTAGATGAGGTTAAAGAAAAAATGTTCAAACTTGGTTCGACTCCTATTTATGTATAAAACAAATTTTTATATACCTGAATATAAGGTTTCTGATAGAGACTAACACAAACATCAGTGTTTCTATACACCTGAATATAAGGATTCTGATAGAGACTAACACAAACATCAGTGTTTCTATACACCTGAATATAAGGATTCTGATAGAGACTAACACAAACATCAGTGTTTCTATACACCTGAATATACAGGATTCTGATAGAGACTAATACAAACATCAGTGTTTCTATACACCTGAATATACAGGATTCTGATAGAGACTAATACAAACATCAGTGTTTCTATGTGTTTTCTTGCCTAATCTTTATCAATGATATATATATAATAGGTTTATCATTAGGTTTCCCTTACCTCTATTACAATTTTTTGTGGGATTTCAGCTTCACACACAATGGATTTTCCTCGACCCAGAATCCTGTTAAAGAAAATTGTTGTTATAACCATATCGCCATTTGACTTCCATATCTTGTATTTTACAAAAAAAATAAAATAAAGAATTTTAAGATAAGTTATATAGGTGTGGGGGATAAGTTAGCAAATTGGAGAGAAGAGTAGAGTGAAAGCAGAGGGTTGTTACAAATGGATTAATGTCACAAGTGGGGTACCTCAGGGCTCAGTCTTTGGCCCACTGCTATTTCTGATTTACTTCAATGAATAGATGAAGGAATACGTTACTTAAATTTGCTGATGATATTAAGTGTTTTTGGCTGTAACGAGAAGGATGTTGCTTTACAAAAGGATTTACATCATTCAGTGAGCTTAATGAATAAATGGCAGATGGGCGTTAATTAAATGCAAGATAACGCATGTGAATTGTAAGTATAATTTGGATGGCAATAACCTGAACAGTGTCATGAAAGAAAGATATCTTGGTGTAATGGTTGATCAGCCATACAAACAGTGTGCTGTTGCTAGTGGTAGGGCAAACAGGATTTAGGTTGTATATTGCAGAAATATTGAACACAAGTTTATAAAGGTTATAATTTCATTGTATAGGTCACTGGTTAGGTAACATTTGGAGTATTGTATTCAGTCTTGGGGTTCTTACCTTAGGAAGGATACTTGTTGGAAAGGGGGCAACTAGAATGGTGCCTGGGATGGAAGGGTTATCATACGAGAAGAGGTTAAAATAAATTTTGGAAAGGTAGGAGTCATCTTCAACTAAGACAGTTTTATTTTTCTAACAAAGTGGCTGGTCTTTAAAATTGGTTGCCTTTGGATGTTGTGGAGGCAGTAAATTTAAGTGAGTTTAAGAGAAAGTTTGATAACTATATGAATGATAAGGGCTGCTTTTGAGGGTTTTTTTTTAAATAGTTTTAAGTTTAGTTTAGTAGATGGGACAGCCCAGATGGATCAATAGGTCCCTTGCTGTCCTTAAATATTATGTTATATTAAAAACATAATAATAAGGAACAACTAAAGTGCACGTAATAACGATAAATATTCATATTCTGGGACATATGAAGTGTTGTATAAAGTGATTGAAGTACCTCAGGACGACAGCAATTACTATATTATACAGAGAGATGACTGTGGACATTATCTCAAATATTATCTCATTCTTGAGGATAAAAATAAATTATAATGAACATTATCTCTGGGGAGAATATAGAGAATCTCAGAAATTCACAGATGTTAGTAGAGATGTATCATGTAAGGGTCAGTATGTCCATCCTTAAGTCTCTGCACACCTCAGGTATCATGTAAGGGTCAGTATGTCCATCCTTAAGTCTCTGCACACCATGGGTGTAAATATCTGGGTTAATTTTAGATAGTTCTGTTGTATGTAACCACTTTATATACTTGTCATCAATAATTAACACAAAATGTTTCATGATACATCATAGGTTT